CATGTTGCAGATTAATATAAGAAATAAAGCCAATTTTGGTTCAAATGTTGGTGGAATATTTGCCGGAGTTAAATATAATAATATAAAATAATAAATAAAAATCCATTAGCTTTTGCGCGACTACCCGCACTCATTTATAGCAAATTTTGCATTTAATAGCGACTTTTTAAAGGGTTTTTTACTTCTATATCAACTTTTCCTGCAATAACCGATCAACTAAAAGCGTTAACGTCCAGCTTTTGCCACTCAGCATTTCAAGGATAAAGGCCGTTTCTCAATAGAAATTTTCCCCGCTTTTGACTCCTTCCTTCCAGGAAGTTTAATAATTTCCTTGTCGGTGAGAAAATAAAATTTTCAACTAATGGTAATGATAATTTAATAGGAGGAAGACTTGAAGCGAACACTCGAGGACAGTGCAAGCATGCAAAGAACTTACGACAAATACATCGATCAAGTCATCACAAACAACGACTTCGATATGACGTTCCGGCAGATTATCGAAGCCCTGGAAGCCCTGACTACCGAACATCAATGGGTCCCCGTCAATTGGATCTATTGAGCCCTTAGCCGGCAACTCACTTTAGATTTAAGTAAATTCAAGCGCCTATAAATCACCGAAGTTAATTTAAGGATTTTGAGAAGTCGCGACGAGTAGATAAGGTTGAGACTGTTCCATTAGTTAATCAGCCGCTAGTTAGCTTAGCTCAATATAGTCAGTACAAATTAGTCGCATCGAAACTATGAACTATTGAAAACCCATTTGATACTATCCAAGCCTTATAGAGAGGGATTGATGAATAGTTTACTCTTTTCAGTGTCCTGAAATGCCTGCACTATTATTGATTGATTTTGAAAAAATTAAAAATAGGCGTTTTTTGATAGAAAATCAGGAAAAGCCATCCAGTTACATTTTACTAAGTATTTAAAATACTGAAAACCACCGAAATATTTTGCAAAAACCACTAGGTATAAACATGCAGACAGGTTCCACCCTGTATATATCAACGATATGATTTGCGACAGATTTCACATTACATGTTAAGAAATTATTTATTTATATTCTCTACTCAGTTACTGCAAAATGGAAATAAATAAGCCATTATATTATATAATAATTGTTGTTTTCATTCCCAATCCTCTAAGATGCAAAATGCGAAAAATTATTTAAAAAAACGGGATTTTACATAGTCAAATTTCCGTTTTGGACTTAAAATGCTTAGGAGATAATTTTTTCGCGACTATCCTGAAAAACGCATTCAGCCCATTGACGTCACACTTCACGAAGATTTTTCGCTACGATCGGTTTATATTCTGTCGAATTTGCCTGACAGTAGCCAATAACAGCTAAACCTAACCTGTACCGACAACAGCGAAAGTGGTGTTTGTTATAATTTTCACATTATTTTTCTTTCTACTTAATCGAAATCCAACTTTTTTCAACATAATGGGCCAGTGTTCACGTGTGCAAACGTTCAAGTGTTAAGCGGTTTGCTCTTGGGCTAAGCGTGCGTGCGAAAGCGTTTTCAATTGTAAAGTGCATTCAGCATAAACATTCAGCTGTAAAAAAGGCTTTAAAAGGGAAATATCGAGGATTTCAACATGGTCAAGTATCTGTGTATCACCTGCTTGTACGTGGGAACCGACCGGGTGTCCTTTAAAACACTGGACACTATAAAGCCAGTATTAGAGCTATTTGTACCTGAAATAGTAAGTGCGTTTCCGCAAAACGGGGGGTGTAACCAGGCCAACATCCTTTCTCTGTACCTTTTGCTTCTTGAACGTTAATAAAAGGAACTTCAAGATCCTTAACACTTCCTAGCAACTTTTTATCGCATTTTAATGTTGGTGCGAGGCCAAACTGATCTGGAAGTTGGTCGAAAATTACAGGAATTCTTTAGCGAATAGTAAAATACCCTTAGGATTTCGGTCAATTTTCATAATATAATTGTTTACCCCCAAATGCAGCTTCGCATCGAAAAAGTTGCTCTTGGTAAAATGTCCGGTTTGTACCAGGGAACCTAATCACTATTAGTCCACTATACGCTCATCAAGGGTTCTCGAGAAAATTCCAACATTGTCACTGGAGGAATTCCGGGCACGCCGCTGCAGTATTCACTTTTTCGCCAAAATCGATAATACCGAGCTACTGGCGGTTTTTGTGGTAATAAAGAGTTGTTAGCCCACCAAAGAAAATTCAACAGTTTCATTGCACTGATAGTCATTTAACCGTACCAATTTTTAGGAATTAGATGCTGCTTCCTTCTACCTGCCCTTTAGTCCCTCATTCCATCCCTTCTGCCTCAACAGGAAAACTCCTATGTGACAAACTGATCCAAACACGGGGTTTCTTTTTCAGAAAAGCACCTCAGCGAACGGTGGCTCTTCCCTAGTATGCGAACAGTGTTTTTTCTTTGTGAAGACCGTAGAACAATTCAGAAGACGTTGTGCACAGTCTCAACAAAAGATATCCGCATTAAATATTGAGAAAAACTCCTCACCAACCAAAGCCTCGATTGGTGAGGTGGATTCAACTTCAGCGGCAGCTCGGCTAAATAATCGAAGAAGATCGTGCTTAGAAAGAGCAGGTCAGAGAGAATTGCGTAGTTATTCTGTAACTTGTTCCTATGCCCCTGTTGAAGAAGCCGAGCTAAAAGCTTCAAGTCCAGCGCAAAAAGTTCGCAGGCAAAGCAATGACGATGAATCGGCTGAAAGTGTGGACACTCATAACGATGATAATGATGATGATGATGACTATTACATAACCAGGCAAGATTTGGTATCTGCGGGGATTTTGCCTGAAATCACGGGCAGTGCTTCAGTGGACGCCAAATCGCGTATGTACCAGTTTTTTCCCTTAATCCCCATATGCATAAGAGCTTTTTTAGAGCCATCAGAAGCAGAAGAAAGTCCTAAAGTGAGCAGCAATGAACCAACTGCAAAGAAGAAAAAAACTGTAGAATACACCCCGAGGTAAGTTATTGGTTTGATTGTCGGTTAAAATGTGAAAGTCGTCACTTCAACAGTTTGAAAGCCTCATCCAACAACCCAAACACCAAATGCAGCGCATGCTGGAATCGCTGCAGCCTGAACAGGCAACAAGGGAAGCCAGCTCGGTGCGATTACTGCAACTTTTTTTCAATGGAAAAGACTTCCTTGTTGAAGCATTTAGATACTTGTCATCAAGAACTAGCCACCCCTATTTCGTTGTTATCATGCCAGCAATGCTCCTTCAAGTGCCATTCTTTGATCCAGCTGAGCATCCATCGGGTGAAACAACATGAGGAACCAGCAAACTGCTCGTTTCGCGTTGAAGAATCGAACTCCACAAACAGAAAACATGATCTGGAGGACAACTACTGTTTAGAATGTGTGACGATTTTTTTAACTGTCGAGAATTATCAAGAGCACATGGTTGAGAAGCACAAGCGAGCCGTTTGCTCCTGTTGCGAACAGCTTTTCAGCCTGTAGACGCTGTTCATGGACATCAGTGACTGCATTCTGTGCAGACTAAACCATTAACTTTAGAGTACAATCTTTTATTCAGTTGTTTATTATAATTTCTAATTGTCTACAAGAAGAGAGGATGACGAAGAATGCATTGATTTGGTTATTAGTTTAGTTTAGAGGCTGATGATGAGGATTCTCAGATTTGGGCAGATTGTATTTAATTTAGAATATGTTGACTTTTTTACAATTGTATTCGCACAGAAGATGGGCTGGTTTGTATAACGAAAATTGCAAATATCATTTAACGATGGTGCATTATTTACCTAAGCCAAAGTTGGATTTTTGGATATTGAGCAGCTCCTAGATCTAATGAGACGGGCAATAATATACAGGGTATTTGAGCTTATAAAATGGGTCCAATCTAGTGTGTTTCATCAGTTGTTTTTGCGTTATGGATAGGGGTTTCTCTAGTAAATAGTCCATGTTTTTAAACGCAAGAATCCTGATTACTTGGCCCCAAATTTCGTCAACAATTTGTCTCCTCTTCGCTGCTGAACAAATTGCTTTTCAAAAAAACAATTTAGACTGGAATTTTCAACACTAAACCGACTTTCTACTCTCGCTCTGAATCTATTATACTATCAGCTTGGGGATTTCTAGATTGATAGTTACAACGGATTTAGTCCAGATATTGGTATAAATTTGTGAAAATATGGCAGATATTATTGGAATGAAAGTAAAAACTGCACAAATACAGGATGTTTTAATTAAAAAACTCTGCATTTAGATTGAGAACGCATTCCGAGAATTGATAATATCCTAAAACTATCAAAAATTGAGCCATTTTACTTGCCTACAAAACACATAAGCGTCCGTGCTTTTGTCTGTGAATAAATTTGAATTTAGGGTTTTTTTCAATTTTTTCACGAATTTTTGGATGATTGCAAAATGCAAAAAACAGCCAAAAGTATATTTGCACTTAAAGACAGCAGCTGAAACAAATTGAAGAAGGCAAGGAAAGTACAAGCCGATTTAACCACAGATAAAGCGCTGTAAAAACCAACATGCTTCTCCGCTCAAAAAGAGATCAGATTTCACAGATGTAAAATTTTTAAAATACTGATAAAACACTTTTAAAGTAAAAGAAGAACCGGCAGCTTTAGAATTTGAAGCGCAAAAACCCACACTCACAAAAAGTATCCTTAGATGTTAACCCTTCTGAAACGCGCATAAAAGACAAGATTGGCCTTTGAGATTATTTTTTAATGTGCCGGTACAATTTATGAAGATATTGATTGACTTTGAAACCGAAAAAAGACACTTTAGCATTTAACAGTCAAAACATTCTTCGACCCATTACAAGCCAATTTTTAACCAACTTTCGACTTTCAAGAACCGACAAAAATAAAACACTTTTGCCGTTCAACTTCACTTTTACATGCTTAGAGCTCTTGTAGGTGAGGAAAATACAGAAAAGTTTCGAATTTCAAACAAAAAAAAACACTATTTAGCTGCAAATTAGTTTAGTTTGCCGTCGAGTTTAAATTTCCAAGGAACGGGCATTTGTGGCGCTCCCTATCTGGGCTATTTTTGTGCGAAGAAATTTTGAAAAATAGATTTTAACGGTTGTTAAAAGCCTTTACAGCAACAAATTTATGAAATTCTCAATAATCGAAAAAAAAACTATTTTTTACCCTGCTAAACGCATTTTTTTAGAAATTCTGGCGGTGAGGGACATTTTTTTGAAAAGTTGCTTCCAAACGGGGTCGCTTTGAGGCTGCCAACAGAAAAAAATGTAAAAAATTGAGGAATATCGAGACTAAGTTTGTCTGTTAAATGATTGAACTCCCACACTGAGTGACAAATTTTAGCAAAGAAATGCCAAACTTACCGAAAGTTGCATCGTGCCACCTGGAAAAGAGAAATAAATGTGTTTAGTACAGCAGGAAATTTGTCCAAATCGAACTTGAAATCAGCAGAGCAAAGAGATAGAAATATAAAGAATCCATTATAGTTCAGTCGTTTTTCGGAAAAACCCAATCAGTTCAAACTAAAGGATTTATAGATTAGGAATAATTCTTACTTACTACTTTTCTGCATGATGCCTCAGAAAGCACACACTACACATTATCACACAACAAAATTCGAGTTAAAAACCGTCCTTAAGGGTGATCCACAGTGATTCTAACATTTCTATTTAAAAACTCGAGTCACAGCAGGCAATTAACCGACTGTAGGCCAAATTTTGCCGCATCTCGAAGGCACCAAAATGATGATATAACCATTTGCTTAAACGCCCTTTGCATGAATCATTGCTGCCGTTCAACTTAATTTTTTTTGTAGAATATTTTGTAGAACGCGCATGTTTGCACGACAATATTTTCCAAATAAGTTTCGCATTCCAAGTCGTTTGAATGAGCGCCGTAAACCAAACCGGTTTCTCAGCCAAATTCAAACAACGAATTGGACCTTTTTTACTAAATTAAATCGCCGTTTTATTTGATTTTTTGTGTAAACACTGGCTAAATGGCAACAACACATTCAAGCAAAGCCATAATTTATCAATACTTCTTTGACTTGACTTGATTTTCACAAGGAGAAAACCCAGTTTCCCACTCTAGCCTCGTCCTTTTCCTGTCCATTCATGGACAGGTGGACACGCTCCACTTTCTCGTTAAAAATTCATTGAATTTTCCATCTAAAATTAAACTTTTTGTTGAAAACTGGGCTCACAAAAACGCACATCCGATTAGTCTTTTGCTCGATTTTCCTAAAAATTGCTAATTGCTAAAAACTGTTGCTTGATTTCTTGGGTAAAATCCGCTCATAAGGCACATCCAGATACCTTTCGTCTCCTGATTTATGACTGCTTTTCTTTGCTCTCAACAGTAAAGCGACTGCATACTTAAGTGGATTTTGGCACATTGGGAGTCTTTTCCTAGATTTTCCTCATAAAACTTTCAACTTTTACAACATGCAGAAACATCGTTATGATCGGCGTTTAGACACAAATTTTTGAAAATTTTCTTGCAAACATGGTCGGAGAAAAACACCCCTTCAAGCCTCAAACTTAAAATAGTCCCGAATATCCAGGAAAAGCGACACTAAATCGGCGATCACACGAATCATAAAGCAAAGTTCTGTCTATTGAATGATACTTAAAGGAACCGTCGTTCTAAGCGCTGTTTCGAACTGAGAATTATAAAAAAAACCTGTTAAAAATCGGGTGATAGGAAAACTTCCCATTCAATCCTCAAGCTTAAAAAATTCCCGAACATTCGGAAAAGTATGATGCCTGTCTGAATGATCCTGAAAGCAGGACTCTTCCGAATCCCCGTTTACGATAGTGAGTTACTGGAAAATTGAGACTTGAAAACTGCGGTGAAAACCGAACTGAATTTTAGAGCTTCAAAATTAAGAAACCTTCCAAAAAATGAGGCTAAATCGAAACAAAAACTAACAGAGCAAAGTTTCCTTTATATTGTGCTTAAAGCTTAAAGCAGCGCTGTGGCTATTTCCCATTGTGAGCGAGACTTTTTTGAAAAGCGTGGTGGAAGCCAAACTGCACTTTGAAGCTTCCAGTTTGAAAAACTCCCAATAATCGGGAAAAATATGAAAGAAACCGACGCCAAAAGTTGGAAAATATTTAAAAAAATGCCATTAGCAGGAAAACCCAACGAACATTTCCTTCATCTAATGGTGTTAAAAGCAGCCCTCCAACTAAGCCTCAATTTGAGTGATAATTTTGCATCAAAATAAGAAATATCCTAAAAATTGGAAAACATTGAAAGAATCGCCGTTTGCTAGCACACAAAGCAAACATTTCTTTCATCTAATGGTGACAAAATCTGGCCTCCAACAAAACTTTAATATCAGGGACAAAATTTTTGAAAAATCATCCACAAATGTGTTAAGGGCTTCACCATCAAAAATCTCCAACAATTGAACATTATTGATAGGAAATCTTCGTATTCCGGAGCATCAAACAAAACATTCTGTCTTTTAATGATGTCAAAATAAGCGCTCCAACCAATCCTCAATTTGAGTAACAATTTTTCAAAAATCATTCGCAAATGTGCTGAGTGCATCAAAATCAAAAATATACTCAAAATTGAAAAACATTGAAAAAATCGCCGTTTCCAGGCGGACAAAGCAACATTTCTTTCATCTAATGGTGATAAAATCTGGCCTCCAACAAAAGATTAATATCAGTGGCAAAATTGTTGAAAAATCATCCACAAATGTGTTAAGGGCTTCACCATTAAAAAAATTCCAACAATTGAACATTATTGATAGGAAATCTCCGTATGCCGGAGCATAAAAAAAAGATTCTGTCTTCTAATGATGTCAAAATAAGCGCTCCAACCAATCAATCAAAAAAATTCACAAATTCACAAAAAGAAAGCTTCAAAATTAAAAAATTTCAAGAATTGAAAAAAATTGAAAGAAAATCGCTGTTTGCAGGAGGACAAAAGCAACAATTCCTTCATCTCATTCTGTTAGGATCAGCCCTGAAGCAAATCCTCAATTTGAGTGACGAGTTTCTGGAAAAAGTATTTCCAAATGTCATGAAAGCTTCAAAATATCGCCTCTAGCAGGAGGACACAAGGAATATTTCCTACATCTAATGGTGTCAAATGCAGCCCTCCAGCAAATCCTCAATTTGAGTGACGAATTTTTGAAACATCATTCACTAATGCATTGGCTAAGAGCTTCAAAATCGGAAGAATTCCAAACATTTTAAGTATTGAAAAAATCGCCGCTAGCAGGAGGACACAAGGAGCATTTCCTTCATCTCAGGGTGTTAAAATCTGCCCCTCAACGAATCCTCAATTTTAGTGCCGAATTTTTCCTATTTATTTCTGGGTCGCGCTGGAAACCAAACCGTCCTGTAAAGCCTCACGCGTGCAAAACTACGAAAAATTGAGGTGAAATGCTACTACTTCGTCTAAATCTGAGCTAGTGGCTCTCACGTGCACACCCTAAATGTTCCGGGTACTTAATAGAGTGAAATTGTTAAAAACAAACCAAGGAAATTTTACGCGACATGGCATCCTTGGAGAAGATTTCTTAAAATTTTCTCCGAAAATGTTTAATATTTGTAAGGAGGACTCCCATATCAGCAGACCAGCACCTCGGGGCTCTTTTCGTTCTTTCCTTGCTTGGACTCAGACGAGTAGGAAGCGCCCCAATATGCATATACCGAGTGTTTGATTTTCTAACAGGAAAAATATATCGTCGGTTAAGAATCAAACTCAATTTCACACTCTAGCCTCGTCCTGTTCCTATCCATTCGTGCCCAGGTGGACACGCTCCTCTTTCCCGTTAAAAATTCATTGAATATTCCATCGAAAATGAAACTTTTCGTTGAAAACTGCGCTCAAAAGCACGCACATCCGAACCTCTTTTCATGTTATTTTTAGACTTATGGAAAGGCTGACGCAGTTTCCAGCGTCAGCCCCAACTGGCCATCCATGCCTGAATGCTTTTGTCCACATTGGCCACGCGTTGGCCTAGAAAAAATCACCCACCGGAGCCTGGTTTTTCCACAATCCGGAAACTTGAATTTACCGGATCTTTCACTCGGTTTAACTGCGAGGCGCGCAATTCCCTGCCCTTTCTTTGCCACAGGCTAGCAAAAGACGAATGCAAACGGGTGGTCAATTGGGGTTGGCGAAGCCAACTTTATTTAAATGTTTTAACAGTTTGGTGGATAACTTCCCATGAAACTAGTGGAGGGGACGAACAAGAAAATTCTTGCTGGGGAAAATCAGGAAAGTTCCCGCTGGCAATGTTCAGTCCATCTCTATGAAATCTGTCGTTTCTTCGTAGGGTGAACGGCGCGTGCCCTCCATCCGATCAATATCCTTATCGCGTGACGTCGCAGAGCTCATCGTTGCCATTGGCTGTGTCTTCACTCATCCCATTATTTATTAAAAGTCTATGAATGGGTAATTGCAACTGTGATATTTGGCCGTAGATCGTTCGCCAGAAAAAGCCGCAAAAAGTGAAAAAACCCGGAAACCGACCGCGAAAGTGAGCTGGCGACGCGAACCAGTCAAATCGGGAAGAAGATCAGTTCCGCATGCTGCTGTGCCGTTTTTTGGTGATCTGACCCAAAGGGTGTTTCACTTCACTAAGCTGACGTACGCTCGTTCGGGGACTTTCAACTAACTGAGGCCAGTTCTCCACTTTTCCCACTCTCATCACTCAGTGCCTACTAGTGTTCTTCTTTATCCGGTTGCCCAACGTCATCCAGCAGGCCAATGAGCAGCAGCACCAAAATCCATACATCATCTTCCAGGCTCAGTAGGCGCTCTCCAGCTATCCAAATGCCTCAGTAGGCACAACACAACTCCACCTCTGGCCCCATTGGTTTATTTTGCGGAGTGTGGACGGTTTTGGTAGGGTGACACTGAAGATGACCGAACGAAACGGTTGCGAGTGGAGTTTGGAGGGGTAGGCTGGAGAACCGGGGTGATGCCCGAGGGGGGCTAGAATGGAGGAAGGCCCGGATTTGTCCCACTTGACTCCTGAGGAGCGAACCATCATCGAGTCGGTCATGGTTCGACAGAAGCAGGAGGAAGAACGGGAACAAGAGATCATGAGGTGAGTGCAAAGAAGAAACTGCCGGTTTCTCAGTGAAAATTGCAGAAGATTGCGTGATTTGACGACAAGTTGGAGTGAAAGAAATGTTTTTGATTTTGTCCTCCTCAGGTGCACGTTTATTAGGCAAACTCATCATTGAAGACTTGATTTGCATTGGCATTCTTTACATACGCCATATGCATCTTGCTCTCGAATTTTTTGTACCCAGTTTTCTTAGCAGTCCAAGGATTTTGCTGCCTAAGCTTGAAACTGTTGGGGTTTTCACGCTATCAAGCTGTCTTAGATAATAATTTATTTCTGGCGTTTCGCCAGCGCGACTGGATTCCATCTTCAGAGCTGATTGCTGCGTGGCAAGCTGCTCTCAAAGTTTGGCACTTGCGCTTTATTCAGGAATTTTTTGAGAAATTGTTAAAAATAGGAAATTTTGCCTGGACAGTTACGTGTAGGCTTCTGTTCCTAATTTCGTCGTGCAAAAACCGAAAGTTATAAACGATCGCGTCTTGTTGAATTTTATGGATAAAAAGCTACTCTATAAATTCCGAAATTTTCTCTATGCACCTTTCTCGGGAATTTTTCGAGAAATTTTCAAAAATTGAACGTTTTGCATGGACATGTAGGACTCTGTTCCTAATTTCGTTGTGTAAAAGTTAAACGCTATAGAAAGTAACGTTCTGTTGAGTTTTATAGAAAAAGGTCAGTGTTCTGAATGATTAAAGTTTCACACATGAATCTTTCTCAGGAATTATATGAGAAATTTTCAAAAATTGACCGTTTTGCCTGGACATGTAGGCCTCTGTACCTAAT